CACTAATGAAGTCATGTGTGAAGTGCAGTTTAATTAAGGCTCACTACCATCTGTAACTGTGAGTAGCACCTTGTGATACGTGTCCTTCATATATCTCTCCACTCCACACCAGTAAGTTCCATTGTCTGATTTCTGGAGGTCAGTGATGACCACAGTGAAGACTCCATTCCCTGAATCCTCCAGTCTGTATCTTCCAGTAGGTGACTGACCAGATTTAATCAAAATGTGCTGATCTTTACATGGATCTCTGCATAAATACTTTGTGTTGGTGTCAGCAAACAGGTGAGAACACTGGATCTTCACAGATCCTCCAACCTGTCCTGACACTCTGATATCTGACGCCTCAACAGTCACTTCTGTCACAAATACACACACAGAAAAACATATGTGCAATTAAAGTAATCTAAAAGAAAACACAGGTTCATCAAACAAAGGCCATTAAGGTTTAAGGTCCAGTCATACAGCTCTCTCCTCACATGTTTGACGATTCAGAGGAAATGACAAAGCGTTAGAGGCGGAGTTTGTAGAACTGTAAACTTTGTAGAACTGCTTTGGCTGCAGAGTCAGTGTGGTTTAGAGTGCTATTAGTGCTGCCATCATGTACACGACTGTTGCTTCAGGCTTAAACATGTTTGCTTTATTGTATAAATACAGTTACTATATGAAATATGTGGATGGCTGGACGGACTTTATTAATCCTCAAGGGGAAATTTGGGTGTTTCAGTAGCTAAATAACATGGAACATTATATACACAGATTAACCCCTTACATTTCAGGCTTATTGCATACTAAGGCTTATTATTCATGAACTACAGGGACTTCAATGCAAACTAATAGAACTTTTCTTAGGTTACAGAATTGTGTAATAAGGGGTTAAATACACTTAATTATACAGTATTTACACATGCATACAATGTAGAGACATCAGCGCACAAACTTGACAAACTGCAGAAGTCAAAAACAGCTGAAATCTTTGATGTTTGAGAGAAATTGAGTATTGTGCATTAATGTAGTTTGTGATAATTATACAGATTTTCTCTGAGCACATTGAGGTTGATTGTACACGGGCTTGTCTGGCTTCTTTTTCTGTTAGCAGAGTCAGCTGCACTTTATCATTCTGCTGTTAACTGCATCACCATACAGTCTCTCAGCGTTCAGATAAATGCTCTACAGTCTCTCTCAACATTACCATGAAAATATTACAGATGTAAACTTTTTTGCACTTAGACGTACATTCTGTGTTTATTCTTGTATGCACGTCAGGACTTACCAGAGAGAAGAATCCAGATGACCATACAAAAGCACCTCATTCTGACCATTCTGGATCGATGTATTCTCTTTCAGTAGTTTTGTTAACATCAGAAGCTTTTTGTGACCTTTCTGTGTCTTTCTTTGTTTCTGTATTGTGGCGTCTTAATGAGGAACAGACAGACAAACAGCAGCATCGTCTTGACCACAAATGTGTGGTTTAGACCAGGAAACAAGTTTCACTCTCTTTCTCAGTCTCTCCTGTCAGTACTGTATATCTTGTATTAGGCCACAAGGCTTATAATTTTATTTTACATTGTCCCTTTAAATTTCAGTACAAGATCAGTTTTTGCTTTGCAGTATGTATGTGAGCTTCTTCATTGTGAGAATATCAATAATATGAAAAAATGTATACAGTCACCATGAAAATTTGTGTTAATTTTTATTTTTATAAAAGGGGGAAGAGCCTGTGGCACGTCTGCTCCGCTCAAGTGCTCCAGCCCAACTCTCCAGTTCTTCCCGTGTTGAAGCACAAAACAACCCAAAACATGGCATGACTTTTACACATTGACCAACATTGCCACCTACAGGCCATTCTTGGCATTGCTGGTTTAGCATACAAAAACCTTTATATACACTTTATGGACAAAAGTTTTGGAACACCTACGCCCTGACAGAAGCTTTTATCATAGGCATTAATATGGAGTTGGTCCCCACTTTGCAGCTATAACTGTTCTAGCTTCTACAAGATAGAGATTTTGGAGTGTGTCTGTGGGAATTGTTGCCTATTTATCCAGAAGTGCATTTGTGAAGTCAGGCACTGATCTTTGATGAGAGGGCCTGGCTCACAATCTCCACTCTATTTTATTTCCAAAGGTGCTTGATGAGGTTGAGATCAGGGCTCTGAGTGGGCCAGTCAAGTTCTTTACAGTTGGCACAGTGCAGTCAGGCAGGTAACGTTCTCCTGGCATTCACCAAACCCAGACTCGTCCATCAGACTGCCAGATAGAGAAGTGTGATTGGTCACTCCACGGAATACATTTCCACTGCTCCAGAGTCCAGTGTCAGCTGCTTTACATCACTCCATCTGACGCTTGGCGTTGTGCTTGGTGATGTTAGGCTTGCATGCAGCTGGTTGGCCATGGAAACCCATGCTATGAAGCTCCTGGCACAGTTTTTGTGCTGAAATTTCACAAACTTACTCATTGCAATGGTAGCATCCTATTACAGTACCACGCTCAAATTCAGTGAGCTAACAGTATTTTTGCTGGCACCTTTGGTGTCCCCTTCAGCAATTGCTCCTTTTTTGTTTGTTGTCAGTAAAATTAAATATCTGCCCATGGTGTGGAGACAAACTTCCTGTACTCAGTGACAAATAACTAGGAACCAAGGCAAGGGTCAAAACACTTGTTTTGACTGAAAGACAAATACATAAAAGTTGGTCTCTTGCTTTCCACAGTACTGTATGTATTAATTTACTCATTAATATTTATATTTAGCGAATAATATTAACATTCATCATGTTTGTCCAACAGAATTCTGGGCCACCTTTTAAAGCAAGGTTTTCACAGTGAGTTTGACATATAATCAGAACAGTTCCTCCACATTCATACAAATACATCACACTGAAAGAATTATAACAGTTCAGGAAGAGATGTTTGTTACTGGCAGACATTCTCAGTAGTTTTATGTACTGAAAGTTTTCCAAATATTTTACAATAAACATGCAAGTGAATTTATTAAATGTATGGATTTATTATGGGCATTTCCCCTAATATGAGCTACATTTGACACTGAAACAAAAATGAGATGCTTTAACATCAGCATATCTGATTTTGATACTTAACAGCTCTAAACTACATAAGCATGAGAAGATTCCTGCAACATGATGAGCGGGTTATCAGAGTGATTAGTAAGTATGTCAGTAGGCATTGAGAGTAGATGTTTGAATCTAGTCTTTCCTTCAGGTCCAGGTGCCGTACAGCGGGTTCTCCAGAGTCTCAAATTCTGCAGTGGATGATTGTGACGATCTCTTTGGTTGGTTGACCTTAAGATACTGAGTAAAGACAGAGTTAAACATATATAAGTTATTGGCTGGTTCGCCCACTAGGGGGAGCAACACAAAACGTTCAAAGGTAGGGTTCGCTTCCTTAGTGACAGCAGTTTTATGCTGGTTGGCAGACTGCATTACATGTGGTTTGTGTTTCTTGGTGTGAGTGGTTAAAGAAAGATAAAGGGGTGAGAAATGAAAACCTTAAACTGTTAAGCTGCATTTGAGGAAAGTGACAGCAAAATAAGGACCATGTCACTACACACACAATCTAGACAAGAAAACTCTGTGAAAATAGAACATATTACAGCCCACTTACTTCAGTCTGAACTCTCTCTACCTCTGCATACACAATATATGATTCAGGACCTGAAAAATGAAAGAGGAAAAATAAACTAAACCTATAGACCAAGGCTGTTTACAGGAGGAGGACATTCCATTTGATCTTCTTTGTAAATATGAATTTTAAATAACCTTCACATAATGTAAAGGTTTCAAGAGAAAAGCTTGAAAATGTTTCTTCTACTTTCTTCAAATCTTTTACAGTGAACCCAAATCATCCAAAGTCTCCAAATAACCATTTTATCATTTTTATTTTTTTAAGAACATAGTGTAATGTTATATAATACATGTTTTTTTTTACAACATCAGTATTTAGTGTCTTGATAATGTCCTAATAAAGTCATTGTTAAAGCTTAAAAAGTCAGCAGCTGGTATTTAACTGGCTGTTCTTTACTGATTCATTAAGCAGGAACTAGAATAAAGAGCAGAGTGAAAACATTGGACTTCAGCTTAATATGAGGACAAACGAGGTTATGACAACAGGAAAGACAGCTAAGTTTACCACTGATGGAGAAGATGTGGAAATACTGTGCAGATTTTGCCTACACAGAATAATTATGATGAGCAGAGGATCCAGCACTTGAGAAATATGCTACAGATTGTCAGTGGGCAATGAATAAGAATGAAAAAGCTTGAAAAGATCTTCTAATGCAACAATTTGCCTCTACAAACAAAGATCAGAATTGTCCAGGCTATGGTGTCTTATTTTGGGGTTTCATTTTGATTCCTCTTTATTTTCCTATTTAGTAATTAATTGATTGCATCAAATTTAACCTTTTAAACCTTAGATTTCTAGTTAACAGTTACAAAGAAAGTGTTAATTTTGTTTATTGTTTAATAAGCCAGTAATAAGCAGCCAATTCTTTTCTAGCTAGTTAAGGCTTACTAAAAGCTTTACAGGGGTATATTAATTATTGAGTTCATTAATATGCACATTCCATATAGACCCAGTGTTCATGCTCAGAATTGTGCCCAAGATTATGATGCATGTAAGGTGAAAATGCTTTGCAAAATGTTAAATTTACCCTGGTAATTTCTTAATAAAGTATTCAGTATCAACCAGTTATCTACCAACTATTTGACTGTCAAGGCTTAATAAGGGCATAAGAGCATTGCCTCCCCATTTGTGCAGATGTAACAACACATATGTTGCTACCGGTTAGGACTTATTCAAGATCAAGATCAGGAAGAACTTTGGCACCCCAGCCATACAGAAGTTTACAGTGGAATGAAACAATATTCCTACAGGGCCTTGGTGAAAAATGCACACAGGTTGGTCGGCCTCTCAAGACAAAACATTTGGGTACCTCTGCTATGCACAGAGTCCTTGTGCAAGAAATTCTGGTGAATATTTGTGCGCTTACGTTGGACTCTGTTGTTTGTCCTGGGTGCTGGATGGTGAGGTGGTGGAGGGAGGGACAGTGGATGAAGAGGAGGTGAAGATCTCATTAGATCTCGCTGTTCTTACAGCAGCTGCTGTTATACTAGCTTTGGGTGGGTATGTGTCGGGGGAGGGAGCTGCATTTGAGAAATGTAGATAAACAAATGTTATTTCCAAGTTATATGATTAATATTCACAAAAACACACTAATGAAGTCATGCGTGAAGGGCAGTTTAATAAAGGTCCATTACCATCTGTAACTGTGAGTAGCACCTTGTGATATGTGTCCTTCAGATATCTCTCCACTCCACACCAGTAAGTTCCATTGTCTGATTTTTGGAGGTCAGTGATGACCACAGTGAAGACTCCATTCCCTGAATCCTCCAGTCTGTATCTTCCAGTAGGTGACTGACCAGATTTAATCAAATTGTGCTGATCTTCTTTACATGGATCTCTGCAGAAATACTTTGTGTTGGTGTCAGCAAACAGTTGAGAACACTGGATCTCCACTGATCCTCCAACCTGTCCTGACACTCTGATATCTGACGCCTCAACAGTCACTTCTGTCACAAATACACACACAGAAAAACATATGTGCAATTAAAGTAGCCTAAAAGAAAACACAGGTTCATCCAACAAAGGCCATTAAGGTTTAAGGTCCAGTCATACAGCTCTCTCCTCACACGTTTGACGATTCAGAGGAAATGACAAAGCGTTAGAGGCAGAGTTTGTAGAACTGTAAACTTTGTAGAACTGCTTTGGCTGCAGAGTCAGTGTGGTTTAGAGTGCTATTAGTGCTGCCACCCTGTACACGACTTTTAGTTCCTGCTTAAACATGTTTGCTTTATTGTATAAATACAGTTACTATATGAAATATGTGGATGGCTTGATGGACTTTATTAATTCTCAAGGGGAAATTTGGGTGTTTCAGTAGCTAAATAACGGACCATTATATACACAGATTAACCCCTTACATTCCAGGCTTATTGCATACTAAGGCTTATTATTCATGAACTACAGGGACTTCAATGCAAACTAATAGAGCTTTTCTTAGGTTACAGAATTGTGTAATAAGGGGTTAAATACACTTAATTATACAGTATTTACACATGCTTACAATGTAGAGACATCAGTGCACAAACTTGACAAACTGCAGAAGACAAAAACTGCTGAAATCTTTGTTGTGAGAAACAGAGTTTTGCCAGTTAATGTAGTTTGTGATAATTATACAGATTTTATCTGAGCACATTCAGGCTGATTGTACATGGGCTTGTCTGGCTTCTCTTTCTGTTAGCAGAGTCCACTGTATTTCATCATTCTGCTATTAACTGCATCACCATACAGTCTCTCAGGGTTCAGATATGAGCTCTACAGCCTCAGTCAGCATTACCAAAAGATATTAGAGATGTAAACTACTTTTCTCTTAGATATACATTCTGTATATATTCTTGTTTGCAGGTCAGGACTTACCAGAGAGAAGAACCCAGATGACCATACAAAAGCACCTCATTCTGACCATTCTGAATAGATGTATCCTCTTTCAGTAGTTTTGTTAACACCAGAAGCCTCTGGTGACCTTTCTGTGTCTTTGCTTGTTTCTGTACTGTGGCGTCTTAATGAGGAACTGACAGCTGAACAGCATCATCGCCTTAACCACAAATTTGTGGTTTAGACCAGGAAACAAGTTTCTCTCTCTTTCTCAGTCTCTCTGCCTGTACTGTATATCTTGCATCAGGCCACAAGGCTTTTAATTTCATTACAAGATCATTTTTTGCTTCACAGTATGTTTTTATATGTAACATGCCATACATTTGTGCACTCACCAAGACAAATTCCTTGTATGTATAACATACTTAGTAAAATAAAGTGATTCTGATTCTGACAATATTCTAGACTGTTACACATTGACCAACATTGCCATCTACAGGCCATTCTTGACATTGCTGGATTAGCATACAAAAACCTGTATATACACTTTATGGACAAAGGTTTTGGGACACCTACACATTACACCAACAGAAGCTTTCATCATAGGCATTAATATGCAGTTGGTCCCCACTTTGCAGCTATAACTGTTCTAGCTTCTACGAGATTATGGAGTGTGTCTGTGGGAATTGTCGCCCATTTATCCAGAATAGTATTTGTGAGGTCAGACACTGATCTTTGACGAGAGGGCCTGGCTCACAATCTCCACTCTATTTTATTTCCAAAGGTGTTTGATAAGGTTGAGGTCAGGGCTCTGAGTGGGCCAGTCAAGTTCTTTACAGTTGGCACAACGCAGGTAATGTTCTCCTGGCATTCACCAAACCCAGACTCGTCCATCAGACTGCCAGATAGAGAAGTGTGATTGGTCACTCTACATTTGAGCTACATTTGACACTGAAACAAAAATGAGATGCTTTAACATCAGCATATCTGATTTTGATACTTAACAGCTCTAAACTACATAAGCATGAGAAGATTCCTGCAACATGATGAGTGGGTTATCAGAGTGATTAGTAAATATGTCAGTAGGCATTGAGAGTAGATGTTTGAATCTAGTCTTTCCTTCAGGTCCAGGTGCTGTACAGTGGGTTCTCCAGAGTCTCAAATTCTGCAGTGGATGATGGTGATGATCTGTTTGGTTGGTTGACCTTAAGATACTGAGTAAAGACAGAGTTAAACATATATAAGTTATTGGCTGGTTCGCCCACTAGGGGGAGCAACACAAAACGTACAAAGGTAGGGTTCACTTCCTTAGTGACAGCAGTTTTATGCTGGTTGGCAGACTGCATTACATGTGGTTTGTGTTTCTTGGTGTGAGTGGTTAAAGAAAGATAAAGGGGTGAGAAATGAAAACCTTAAACTGCTAAGCTGCATTTGAGGAAAGTGACAGCAAAATAAGGACCATGTCACTACACACACAATCTAGACAAGAAAACTCTGTGAAAATAGAACATATTACAGCCCACTTACTTCAGTCTGAACTCTCTCTACCTCTGCGTACACAGTATATGATCCAGGACCTGAAAAATGAAAGAGGAAAAATAAACTAAACCTATAGACCAAGGCTGTTTACAGGAGGAGGACATTCCATTTGATCTTCTTTGTAAATATGAATTTTAAATAACCTTCACATAATGTAAAGGTTTCAAGAGAAAAGCTTGAAAATGTTTCTTCTACTTTCTTCAAATCTTTTACAGTGAACCAAAATAATCCAAAGTCTCCAAATAACCATTTTATCATTTTTATTTTTTTAAGAACATAGTGTAATGTTATATAATACATGTTTTTTTTTACAACATCAGTATTTAGTGTCTTGGTAATGTCCTAATAAAGTCATTGTTAAGGCTTAAAAAGTCAGCAGCTGGTATTTAACTGGCTGTTCTTTACTGATTCATTAAGCAGGAACTCGAATAAAGAGCAGAGTGAAAAGATTGGACTTCAGCTTAATATGAGGACAACCGAGGTTATGACAACAGGAAAGACAGCTAAGTTTACCACTGATGGAGAAGATGTGGAAATACTGTGCAGCTTTGGCCTACACAGAATAATTATGATGAGCAGAGGATCCAGCACTTGAGAAATATGCTACAGATTGTCAGTGGGCAATGAATAAGAATGAAAAAGCTTGAAAAGAGCTTCTAATGCAACAATTTGTCTCTACAAACAGATTTTTAGACAGAATTGTCCAGGCTATGGTGTCCTAGTTTAAGGGTTTCCTTTTGATTCCTCTTAATACCTATACAGTAAATAATTGATTACATCAAATTCAACCTTTAAACCTTATATTTCCAGTTCACATTTACACAGAACGCTTTACAGGGGCATATTAATTATTGAGTTCATTAATATGCACATTCCATATAGACCCAGTGTTCATGCTCAGACTTGTGCTCAAGATTATGATGTATAATTGAAAGGTGAAAATGCTTTGGAAAATGTTAAATTTACCCTGGTCATTTCTTAATAAAGTAGTAAGTATCAACCAGTTATCTACCAACTATTTGACTGTCAAGCCTTAATAAGGACATTATAAGAGAATTGCATCCCAATGTGTGCAGATGTAACAACACATATGTTGCTACCAGTTAGGACTTATTCAAGATCAGGAAGAACTTTGGCATCCCAGACATACAGAAGTATAAATGGGATGAAGCAACATTCCTACAGGGCTTTGGTGAAAAATACACATGAGTTGATGACATAAATGAAGGGTAATAGATGTAATGAGTAAGTAAATGAAAAGTAATGAGAAGAACATCTTTTCACAATCCGGTGCAATGAGCTGTATATGTGTTTCTCAATGTTCTGAATGCTATCGTGCCACAATTTTAACGTTTATTGGCAACATGCAAAAAACATGAGTTGCTAGCTACACTTCATGCTGATCAAGGCACTCTTTTTAAGGCTTCTGCAGTTTCATGAATTGTATGTTGTCTTGCATTTTGACATTTAACCCTCAAAGAAGAAAAACAGAATATTCTTTGGCCTATCAAGACAAAACATTTGGGTACCTCTGTTATGGACAGAGTCCTTGTGTAAGAAATTCTGGTGAATATTCGTGCGCTTACGTCGGGATCTGTTGATTGTCCTCTTACACGTATAGTGAACGGTAAGCACAAATATGAGCAATGTTATGCCACCCAGCCCAGCAGCAGTGTACAGCAGGACACCTGCATGCCCATAAAAGAGATCTATACAGGGATTTAGAAGAACATAGTAGTTGGTCTAGTCTATGATAATACATAATAAAATACCATTTACTGTAATGTCACTAGTGCATCAACTATTGGCCAATAGAATGTAGAGAGCTCTTCCACTATGGATGTAAATGTTCATTCTGATACATTGTATCCAATCTTGGGTATGTAATATCCAAGCTATAACAATAGGAATATAAAACATATCTATAATACAGAGTCTGTATAAAAATAATATCAGATTAATACCCACCAGATCTATCCAGAGAGAAAACTTCGGGGGATTAAAAAAGGGAAAAGAATGTGTCAGTCAAACTGGAAAATGTCTTTGATTTGAATGTATTTTGATTTAAATGTATGTTATTAGCTGAAGATGTAGTTACCTGTGGGTAGGGATGAGATGTTGAGTGATTGTGGAGTGGGAATTGTCAGGTTAGGTGTGGAGCGAGAGCTGGTGGATGGTGAGGAGGTGGACGGTTCATTAAATCTCACTGCTTTTGGAACAGCTTTCTGTATCGTTTTGTGGCGAGTCGGTGCTTGTGTGTTTTTAGAAGAGGTATGGAGAGAAAAATGTTATTTCCAGGATATATGATTAATACTCACAAAAACAGCAGCACTTTATTTTAAAGAAGACATATTGACTATTAAGATGTTCAGGAAAGCCCAAAATTAGACATCTTCTTATCAGTTTATTCACTGTGCATTCACTGTGCATTATACTTGACCTGTAAAAGTTCATAATTGGCCATGTGTTATGTGAAAAAAATCAGTCATAATTGTATTATTAGTAGTAAACATGCACAATTTCACTTTGTTAAGGGCATGAAGAAATCTTCTAAACTCACGTCATTAGCGTATAATTGACAATATTTGATTCCTGTAGGTTCAAGTGTCCAGTTAGTTCTACGTTTCTTACCTCACAGGTAATAAGTGTTTAACAAGACACTAATATTTCAGTATGTGTTTTATATTCAACATAGAGTTACTGTCAAAGTTTTCAGAATGACACTTCACAGCCTATATTTGAAAAGAAAATCATTTTGTGGATTTTTAATAGTCTAAATCATACAAGTTAAGGATTACATTTTACAATCAAAGTAGCTTTAAAATGTATCTCATTTGTGATGCAAATTGACTCATTGAAAACTTTTTTTGTACTTTTGAAACTCTTATTAACTCTAGGCTTTGTTTTCCATGACATAGATTTTGAATAAATATTCCCTTAATCAGTAACCAAATAGATTAGATATTGTAATCAATAACCAAATAGGTACTATTGGCTAACAGAGAATATTAATTCTCTCACAAAGGGTCCCCTAGTCTGTCTGCATAGGAGATTCTAGACACTGGAAAGCCCCTGGGTTCATAGAGAGGCCTGTGTGTACCTACTGACCCAGTGAAGAGAGGGGTAGGTTGACCTTGAAAGGTAAAGCAGACTGGTAAAAAACAGTTGAAACCAGTTTTTGAACACTGTATTTGCACAGTTGGGTCTCTCAAGACCCTGTACCACTTGATGCTGGAATAAAGAAGAAGCTTGTGTTATAGCCCATGGTCCCGACACCCAGACAACGATTAAGCCTCGTCCTGGCTAACACAGCATTCTGAATGGAGATAACCCATTGAAAGAAAAATATAGTCCAGGACTAGACTTAATCCCTGACTGCTAACCATAAAATAATAAATGCCAGAAGTAATTTGATGCTACCTAGAACCTGTAGGAATAAAATATTACCAATTGAACACAAATAAGATGTGAATTTAAGTAATAACTTCATGTTTAATCATTTGCATGATAAAATCAAAACAATTCTTTATTGTTTAATAGAACTAATAAAATTTTAGTCATTTTTGGTTAGTGTTCCAATTATGTACTAACAGAGGTCATAATGAATAAAACACCA